CTTAGCAGGTTGGAGAAGAATAATGAAGAGGCTGCAACCCTGACTTCACTTGAGGAAGAGCGCCAAACCCGCGAAGAACTTGATTCCACTCTCTGGCAGGAGCAGCTGCTATGGCTGCAAAAATCCCGGCAGAATCATTTGGTAATGGGGGATCGTAATACCAGGTACTTCCACCTATCAACCCTTAAGAGGCGAAATTTCAACAAAATTCTGGGTCTCAAAGACGCAACTGGTGTGTGGATTTACGGCGAGGAAGAGCTCCAGTTGCTTGCCAGAGAGTTCTACATCGGCCTCTTCACTGCTGAAGTGGGTGCGAGTCCTTCCTTCCCTGCCTCCTTCGAAGGGCTTACGCCTGCTGAGGCCTCCTCAGTCGGTGCACCTATCCTGCTGGAAGAGGTTAGGGGAGCTTTGAATGGTATGGGTGGTATGAAGGCTCCGGGTTCGGATGGTTACCCGCCGGTCTTTTATCAGAAGTGTTGGAGTACGGTGGCTGATTCTTTTTCCCAGTTTGTGTCTGACTGTTTCACTTCCCCAAGCCTGATAAGAAGCATCAATGAGACCCTTCTGGTTCTGATCCCAAAAAAAGAAAGCCCTGAGTGTATTTCCCAATTCAGGCCCATTGGACTATGCAACGTGGTCTATAAGTCCCTGACGAAGTGCCTAGTCAACAGAATCAAGCCTTTTATGAGGCGCCTGGTACACCCAACTCAGTCGAGCTTTGTCCCAGGAAGAAGTATTGCCGGGAACATCATCATCCTGCAGGAAGTGATCCATTCGATGGGTCTGAAGAAAGGGAGCCGTGGTCAAATGGTGGTGAAACTGGACCTGGCAAAAGCTTATGACAGATTGAGCTGGAGCTTCATCCAGGAAACGTTACAGGCAGTGGGTTTTCCCGCTAATCTTATAGAGGTCATTATGCAATGCATCACCTCTTCAACGATGCAGGTCTTACGGAATGGAAGCTGTACAGAGCCGTTTACCCCTTCTAGGGGTCTACGACAAGGGTGTCCGCTCTCACCGAACATCTTCACTCTGAGCATGGAGAGACTCAGCCACAGGATCGATTGTGAGATTTCAGCGGGACGGTGGCGCCCTATTCGTATCAATCCAGGTGGACCTCCTCTCTCCCACCTCTTTTTTGATGATGATATTGTTCTGTTTGCAGAGGCTACTGTGGAGCAGGGACGGGTTATGATGGATTGTCTAGACAGCTTCTGCATGGCGTCAAGACAACAAGTCAGCAAATATAAATCAGTAGTCTTCTTTTCCGGTAATACCACGAGACCGGTGAGCTCCTCCATCACACAGGTACTAGACATTCAGGCAACACAGGATCTTGGGAGGTACCTCGGAGTACCGGTTTTACATGGTAAGGTCACTCGTGATACATACCGATACATCCTGGATAATTTGGATAACAAGTTGGCAGGTTGGAGGGCCAAGAGCCTGAGTTTGGCGGGAAGAGTCACTTTGGCTCTGTCGGTGTTCAGTTCCTTACCCATCTATGCGATGCAAACCACGCTCCTACCTCAGTCTATCTACGACCAGGTTGATAGGAAGATACGTGGGTTCATTTGGGGCTCCACGGCTGATACCAAGAAGGTGCATCTGGTTCATTGGGAGGGGTTGTGCAAACCTAAGGAGGACGGAGGTCTGGGACTCCGAAAGGCCCATGAGCTAAACTTGGCTTTCTTGGCTAAGTTCGCTTGGTTGTTTGTTAAGGATTCGGATGAGTTATGGGTGCGTGTTTTGCAGGCTAAGTATTTCAGGTGGGTGGAGGGAGTGCTCCAGGCTAAATCCTCTACGAGAACTTCAGTCCTATGGCGGGGGATTAGAAAATCCTGGCCTATCATGGCCAGAGGGATGCAGATGAGTATCAAGGATGGCAGTGACACGAAGTTTTGGACTGACCGGTGGCTTGATAGTGGCGAAATTCTTCTGGACCATGCCATTCTTGCTGACCATCCAATTGACCTGGATCAACCAGTGGCGGATTTCGTTCTCCCTAACGGTGAGTGGAATATCCCCTGCTACAGACTTATCTACCTCACGAAATGGTTTTGCAGGTCCAGGGTATTCAGCCTCCTGCAGACGATCTTGGCGAGGACGTTGCAACCTGGGGCCCGGAGCAGGATGGGAAATTCCGTGTGAAATCTGCCTACCGCATCGCTGCGGAGTTGGAGGAAGGAGCACCGGGGCTCGACTGGAAAGCTTTCTGGCGATGGACAGGTCCGGCTCGAGTTAATCACTTCCTGTGGCTGGCAGCAAAGGAGAGACTTTTCACCAATGCGGAAAGACAGCGCCGCCACCTGGCCCGCGCCTGCGGCTGTACCTATTGCAATCAAGGACCCGAGACAGTCCTGCATGTGTTGCGGGACTGCACCTTTTCCAGGTTAACTTGGATGCATCTCATTCAGCCTTCTGAATACTAGACCTTCTTCGGAGCTACTTTACAGGATTGGCTTATGAACAACATTCGTCACCAGCAACACGCCTTGCCGTTTGGCATTACCTGCTGGTATCTTTGGAAGACCAGGAATGATCGAGTCTTCGCAGGCAAGATCATATCAACTGATAGGTTCCTACAGCGCGTCCTGGCATGGATTAATGTAGTGCGGAATGCCATGGACATGGAGAGGCTTGTTCACCCGCCTCACCGACCCGCTAGAACGGAGGTGGAGATCTCGTGGCAGCCGCCACCTCCCGAGTGGGTTACTCTCAACACTGACGGCTCCGTTCACACTAATACAAACCACGCTGCTGCGGGTGGTTTGTTGCGAGATCACACAGGATGCTGCTTGTCGGCATTTGGTATTAACCTGGGGAGTTGTTCTATCACCCGGGTTGAGTTGAGAGGCGTTGTAGAGGGACTTCAGTTGGCTTGAAGCCTTGGACACCGCCGGGTACGAGTGGAATTGGACTCGCAGTGTGCTGTTCAGCTGCTCTTGAATACCCGTGATTCAGACCACCATCACGCAGCCATTGTCCACAGGTTTTCTTAGCTCCTCCATAAAGATTGGGAGGTTTCGGTCCATCATATTTATCGTGAGGGTAATAAGTCAGCATACTTTGCGTCATTTGGCGTTGTATGACTCTCAAGGGATTTCCGAACCCCGTCTGGTTTTGAATGAAAGCTGAGATGCTATGCCTCCATTTATAAAAAAAAAAAAAAAAAAAAAAGGAGAATAGGAGAGGGAGAGGGCCCAAAAACTCTAATGATCTCATTCAATATTTGATGGGACAAGGAATCCCTTTGGGATCACTCGAATTTTTTTTCGTTGGTTGAGTGTGTGAGATTTCAATGTTCTTTCTTGTTCCATAGCTCTCCGTAGTGTGGAAGAAGGTTGTTCCCAAATGCTATCCAATGCCTATTGATATTTTACATGCAACAAGAAGCTAGTTTCAGTTGTATCGTTCATCCTTTGGCAGTTAATTTCTCCAAGAATCAAGCATTTAGTTATGTACATGTAAATAAACATTTCGATTGAACCTATCCTTCATTGCTAGAAACTACATTTCATTTTCCTTAGGACAATGATTCATCCATCCGATATTGTTTTCTACACGTTTATTAAATTATTATGACTAATTAAAGTTGGTAAGATCGAGACAACGATCTATCAATTATGAATGATCACTCACATACACAAACTCAATCTTAATCCCCACCATTCTAATGCATCTATAAATTTGAATTTCGAAACTAGCGAATATGATGTATGTGAAGGATAGGCATGTCGGTTCGGTTCGGGTAACCGAAACCGAAAACCGCAAAAAACCGAAACCCGAAACTGCCTCCCTCAAACCCGAAACCGAATTTTGTGTTCTGCGGGTTGTGGGTTCAGAAACCCGAAAAAATTGCTGGCGGTTTCGGTTCGGGTGAACCCGAAACCGAACCGGGCTTTTTTTTTACTATTTCTGTAATTTGAATTTTATATTCTTTTGTTTATACAAACAATTTTATTCTTATTATTTGTACATTCTTAAACATAAAACATACTATTTTATTCTTATTACTTAATTATTAAAATATTATTATTATTATTTGTACATTCTTTTGTTTGTACAAACAATTTTATTCTTATTAGTTAATTATTAAAATATTTAATTTTATGTATTCTATAACTATAGAGAATGGGCAAAATATGGCATGGAAGAAGAATTAAAGGGAGAGGAAATGGAAACTTTTGTGGGTAATGGGTTTGGTAATTTAAATTTAGTCAAACTCGTCGATGATCATGGTAATTAGTTGACTAGGAGACTGGGGGAAAAATTAATTTGGGAGGGACAGTTTTGCATCCATAACCATTTGATCAAGTATAATTTGCATCCATCGTTAGCATATAATTAGCATATAATTAACTTTTTTACCAATATTTTTAACTTTTTACAAACGACCCAAAAGAAGAAACAGAAGCAACTGTGGCAAGTGACAAGTGTAATGTTCCTGCCAAACAGAAGCAACTTTTTACAAACGATTTCCTTATAATTTCTCTTGACTATAAAACACCCACTTGAACCCTCTTCCTCCACCTTCTTCTTCTTCAGCTACTCCCCAATCATAATAACAACAACTCAGCTGTCATTCCAAAAAGTCTCCTCTCCCCTCCCCCAACCCCAACCCATCAAATTCATTTCACAGCTATATACCCTGCACGTACTCACCAAATATGCACTAGAGTAACAATATCGAAGCAAGCATCAAGAAATAAGGGAGTAGTTTGATTTCACATAACTCGTGGAATCTTTGCATCTCCCAGACAGATTAAGAAGTTGAATGAGAAATTCATCATTGTTCCAGAACATACTTTACCACAGTAACTCACACAATCTGATATCATATCCAACTCCTACACCCCAGGGCAAAAGACGAAAACAGAGAGCAGAACTAACCCATCATTGATCCAGAAACAGGGCTTCGGTTTGTTCTTACAATTGCTGTTTGGACCAAATCAAATCAAAATTCAAAAGAAAGAGCGAAGCGGACTCACTGGGATTCCATGGTGGAGTCGTCGGAAGAACGTGGGCAGGGCACTGGGTCTCTCCTTCCTGAGGTGAACAGCGAAGCGGCGAGGAAGGGATTCAATTCTACTAGAACCCACGAGACCGGCGAGGGATTCGATGGCGGCTGCGGCTGCAGCTGCGCCTGCGAGAACGAGGTGATTGCGCGGCTGAGTCGAAGACGAAGAGTCGAAGACGAAGAGTCGAAGACGAAGTGATTGCGCGGCTGCGGCTGCGCCTGCGAGAACGAGGTGGACTGTTGAGACCTGAGAATGCCTTGGAGGGAGTCGACTGTCGAGTAGGGCTGAGGGCCTGCTTCCCAAAACGACAGCCAGTATCAATTTTCGGGTTTTTCGGGTGGATTTCGGTTTTCGGGTTTCAGTAACCCGAAACCGCTTTTATATATATAACGGGTTGAAACCGCAAAAACCGAAACCGGGATGGCAAATATCGGTTCGGGTTAAACCGAAAACCCGAAACCGAATTGACAGGCCTAGTGAAGGATTTCAAGGAAAGAAATTAAGTGTATGGACAGTAGTTGGTGGGACTTCAATGTGTACATGTAGTGAGGAGAAAGATCACATCAGATTTTAATGTACATGAAGAAGGAAGGGTTCGTGCATGCAGCTAAGCTAGGTGTCTTTGGTCCCCGGTCGACAATTCTGTCTTTGGATGATGCGGTTTTACCTACGTTTCATAATATTTATTTAGTGATGAAGACGATGTTTTTTTTTATATATCCTTTTACTCTAAGTCAACTAGAATTTGATTTTTGTGTTTGGTTATGTTTTTATATATAATTAACGTTTGTATGTCCTTGTGCTTGGTAACAAGAATAATATGAAGGCAACAACAAAAAAGTTATTTTCAATGCTGAATAAACACTTTGATTAATTGCACAAACTGGCAGTTTAATTTTGAAATTATTTTAAACTTAGATGTTATCAAGAGAGTCGGCACTCAAGCAAAGCAATTGTAGAAAACAATGTAAGAACAATTTGTTAAGCTAAATTATTACAAATCAATGACACCTTTAATTAGATCGACAGGCACATCTCATTACAAGTGTGTTCAAATAAACATCTTGCTTTGTGACTTGTGAACTCACCTCTGACCTTTGAATTTTTCTAATTGAGGAAGAAAGAAGTACAAATTTATAACTACTACTTGCCCAATATTATATGAAATTAATTGATTATAACGGGTCATGCATATCTACATGGTAACGTTTGCCTACTTGAGTTCTTCTCTGATTATCTTTTAATAATCTAGTTCATACTCAATTAGAGTTCATTTTTTTCTCGGGTCCTTCATTACTTAGTTTTATGTCACGCTGTTTAGTTTGGAATTAGCACCTAAATTTTCTTGCTAAAATAAAATTGTTATTTTTTTTCTTTCTTTCAAAAATACACTAGAATTGTTGCCGCGCTTTGCTGCGGTTAGGAGTCTAAACTTTAGCCCGTCAATTCCGCTTATAGGTAGTCGGATTGAAAAATAATTATCTTGTGGTTTATTTGCCGTTGATTTTGTCCTTTTTCTAATACTTAATTTTGTATGAAATCTGTTAGAAATATAATTATGAATATTTACTTCTATAATCTAAATGTGTATGAGTTGGGCATGGATACCCATTTATTCGAGAGTGTTTTAAATATACATTCAAAAATTAGAGCTATTTGTAGAGCTTCAAAAGTTTAGGTTCCAAAATGTAATACACAAAACATTAGGTACTAAAATATAATGTTCCATCACTATTTTGAGAACTTATATGCCAGAAAAATAAGTTTAGGTTATTAATCTAAAGATCTATTGAGTATAGGTACAGAACTGTAATTTGCATAGTTGAGGCTTAATTCCTTTTATGGAGATGTATTTAAAATGATAATTATTTACCTTTTTATAGAAAAATGGAAACTATTTATTTGATATTTGTAGATACTTAACCAAGCATTCCATGTATAATTGTTGAAAATTATAGCTCGTGTGATAAAGAAAAACTCTAGAGTGAAGCAAAAGGAATACAAACTGGAACTCGCTTAAAATTTCACGCCTTCAAATCCCATAATAGAAAATGATGACTTTCTAATAAGTAATAACCAAATATATTTATGTTTAATTGGACTCGACATTAAGTTGAAAAAGTTAGTAGTTCATGGTTCAATTATTAGTGTAACATCCGCACTCATTTGAGTTGATCAATACATTAATTTTGTTTGAAGACTAATTTAGGAGTAGATTTTCAACTAATTGATAATGTCGATCGATCAAGAAAGTGCTGAGTAAACATTCAAATATTTGAAAGGATGGAATCCGTTCCTATAAAATTAATGGTTTAAGACATGATTAGTATAAACTAGATCTTGATAACCCTTTTAAACATAGTGTATCTTGTATTATCCAGAACTTGCGTGTGAGTTATTTTGGTGAGTAAAAGGAGAGGATTTCCACAAATAATTTTCATTTGATTGACCATGATATGTAACTAATTTCCTTCTCCCCACTAATTGCATAGAAATAGTTAAATTGCTTTTGTCTTTTCTTTCTATACCTAGGTCGCCGTTAACCAAGTCCCACATTCCAATCCTTTTTTAATTTCCCATGCCAATTTCGTCACTTATGGCTCCTGTGGAAGTAAATAATACGCCCCTGGGAGGGTGTATGTTATCAAAGTCACGCAACAACACGATCAATCCGAAGATTGAATGAACTCGAATCAAGAACAATGCGTTCTTAATACGAAAATTGGATAAAACGGAAACGAAAGGGAATTCTTACACCTGGAAGAATGCACAATCGTTATGGTGAAGCTTTCGATATAATCGAGTGTGATCGCTCGATCAATAAGCAGATCAACAAGTTTTGATCGCAACCAAAACCCAAGAACAAGTTCGCAAACTTGAACAAACCAAAACGGTTTATTTTTCGATTAATCAACTCTGTCTTACTATTACAATGAAAACTAGAAGGTATTTAAAGGCAAATAAACCTAACACAAACCTAATAGAACTAGGAAACAATTAAGGTAAAAGTCTACACTAAAAAGGACACAAAAATAGGATTTAAACTCTCTTTCTTCAAGCGTAAGTAAGCTGCCAGCAAACAGTCCAAACGCAGCTTTCGTACTAACTTTGCGCCTTTCGTTCGAGACCTTCCGGAAATCCAACCCTTCATCCAATTCCTTTCCTTTGTACATAAACATACCTAATTTCATGTTGTGGAAGCCTTTGGACTTGAATCAGATCCATACTCCTCGAATTAAGCTCCAAAGTAGGCTTCACAAAACAGTTTCCAGACTTCACCATTTTCTGGCAGTTTTCCAGTTTTGAGGTAGCAACTTTGAGGCCTTGGAAAACAACCTTAATGACAACTTCTGGATCCATAAAGCATACCATTGGAACCATGGTAACTTTATCTGTAAAAAAAAACCCTTAAACCTGAATTTCCACCAAGCCAATTGAGAGAACCATGCCTCCAAAGTATGTACCCTGAACACGGATTTTGACTTAGCCAAATTCTGCCTTTCTTCTTCCCAACTTCGATAGCTACTTTGTCAAGTAATTTGGACGTGAATGGTGGGCCATTTGGGATCATATCAGTAAAAGGGTGTAATAAGTAGCCAAAGCCAACTCTATCTGAACTCTACTCAAGCCATACACGTGTTTAGGTTTAGGTGCATGTCCCTTTTTGGGCTGAAATGAGGGCACGTAGTCCCCAAAACCCCCGTTTTAAGTAGCAGTTAAGGAGAGAAGGAATGGGGATGTACTTTGAGACCTTGGAAATCGGAGGAGAGGGAAAAGAAATGGCTGCAGCTAGATACTCTTGAACCGCCATTTTTGCCCTTGTTGTTGCTCATGCGATCAACTGTGGAGGGGAGTAGTGGCTAGTAGTTGAATCAAATAATACAGGTATGGCTCCCTACACTTGTCTTGAGCGGTCGAATGTTTTGTAGAGGAAAGGATGGGTCGGATTAGTACTCCGGTAAGGGATTAAGAGAAGAAATTATAAAAGTTATTTTAGATGGACGGGATTAAATTTATGATAAAACCATACAGGCTAGCTGTTAGTGGTGATTAGAGTATTTATGCATGTAGGAATAGGGTGGTGCATGTGGGGTTGGTTTGGCTAATCTGTGAATTTGTAGATGCATCATGTTGTGAGATGTAGAAAGCCTCTCTAAAATGGAGGGTAGCAATTGAGACAAAGCCACCTTTATAAAATGGACAGGGGGTCACAGGGATAGTAGGGTAGTAGAAGTGTAAGAATGCCAATTCTTGTTATATTGGAATTATAATTGGAGTAGAGATTTTATGGTCAAATATGAATTTAATTAGAATGGGACGATTTGAATGATTAAAAGATTGTTCATTGAATATCTTTATATAGATTTATAAAGGAAATGAGCAAGATGGAACATCAACATGGAGCAAAGTTATGGCCGAGTAATTAAGCAGTGAGTAAATCTTAACCTAATGCTTATATTAATACGACTATAGTATTCGGGTCATGAAGTGACTCGAGTACAGGGTAAGTTAGTATTGTTTGATTCGTGTGATATCATATTGTAGTTTGTATGAGAATGGATAATGACTTGTATGTGTGCATACTTACTTGAATGATCATGTTGGTATGTGACATGTATTGTATAATATATTGCATGATGGTTTTCGGTATGATATATGGTCTATGACGATTGAGAATATGGAAATGGCCTATAAGGCACAAGATTGAGAAAGGTCAGAAGATGGTTAAAAGTATACTATCTGTATATGAAAGGGAAATTGATTGGCCTTTATGGCATACATGGAAATGTTATTGCATGGTCACCTAAACCAAACATAATGCTTGCCTTGTTATACACTCAACACAAGATATGGGAAAAGGGAGAACATGGTATGATGACACCGGACGGTGATTCGTTCCGTGGTGGTATATGTGATATGATGAGCTGGGCTGGGTACGTCCCGCAGTGGTATAATGGCATCAGGCTGAGATACGTTTCGCGGTGATAAGTTTTATTAGAACCAGTGGTAATCCCTATTCCTATATCTTGGAAGAGTGTATGATTTGACAAGCTAATGAAGTAAAAGCCACTGAATCAACCTAACCGTGATGTGATTGAATCCTTGTATAAGGGTTTCCTATGGTGAGATTATGTAATGACTTCCTATGATCTTATATACAAAATGTGCATGTGAATGATATAGTTATATGATGGTTTTCTATGTGTTTACTACATTGATATGATATTGGAGTGCATGATGAGATGAATAGATGTGTGTGTTATCGAATGAAATCTCTTGTGTCGTGATCTATCTGTGACTGTGATGTGGTATATGGCATGTGTTGTGAGACCATGCTTGAAAATGACTATGTATTGTCGGTTGTTACAGTAGGGTAAGTGATATGAATGTGTCATGGATGATAGGAGAAGTACTTCGGGGGTACAACATCACTCGTTACTATTTTGGTATTGATGTTTGTATTAGGTTATTGTTTACTCATTGAGTGACGTCTCACCCCTCGTTAATATTTTTTTCCCAGATTCAAAGGGATCGTGATAGAAGAAAACAAGTCGGTTGTCGTGAGGTGGATGGCGGAACTGAACTCTCCACATGTTTTTATTCGGTATAAGAAATTATTGCTAGTGACGTGTCAATGGTGTAAGGGTGTTACAATTAGTTCTCTAGACTGTTGGTGAGTCGTGTATGAACCCGTTCATACTTGTGATTAAAATACATAAAAAGTATTATACTAATTAGGGTTAAATGAAGAAGGCAAAGAAAGAAATAAAGAAAGGGTTATGGAAGGCGAGTGAAAAATGAAACGAAAAGAAAGTAGATGATGGAAAGGTTTTGACCAATTCTTTTAGTTGGTCGTTAATACAACAGTTAACCTTTTTCACCATAGCAATTTATTGACACTTGCTTGTGTAGATATCACATATTTTGTTATATGTAGTTAGTAGAAGTTTGTTTAGTACCCCGTAAATGTACTAAATGAGTTTACAAATTCGCTCTTGCACTATTTTAGAGTTGTCTCTCTTTTATCATTTATTTAATGTTTCACCTAATGAACAAATATAAAATGGTCGAGTCTTCTCGTACAGTTGAGTGATACAACATCTTGTATGGTACAAACTAGGGGTGGTAAACGGTAAGCCGGTAAACGGTTTACAGTTTTACCGAACCGGTAACCGGCGGTAAACGGTAAACCGTTTACCGATGGCATAGGCGGCCGAGCGGGAACTTGGGCGACTGGGTTTACCGGACACGGTATCGGTAAATACCGACGGTAAGTCAGTAATACCGATACCGAAATCCCCCCTGCGCCGCGCAACCACCTGTCCAGCCCAACCAAGGATCTAAATGTCGAAGAAGCTATCTCCTGCATTTGATTGAGTTCATTTAGAGTTCCACGGATCCATGAGGCTGTAACAATGGATCGGGCTCTGAAAGCTGCGAGAGCCTCTGGTTCTCTCAACCTCTCCAATCACTCTCTCAGGCAAGTTCCCGTCCCTCCCAAGCTTTTAAACCCCTTCGTACGGCTTCATTCCGATGAATATAATTCGCATTTGGGATTCCAGGGATGTCCCCGACGAGGTGTACAAAATTTCCGATGCTCTCGGCGAGGGCGAGAAATGGTGGGAGGTAATAGTGATTTCCGTCTTCCCATTACCCGCTTTAGTTTTCACGGAGCTGCATCGAGTTGTAACGCCCAAGGTTTGGCCGATTCTTTGTGTGTTGCAGGCGGTTGAGCTCCAAAAGCTGATCTTGGCTCACAATGAGATTGAGTTGTTGAAGGAGGACTTAAGAAATTTGACCCAATTGACTGTGCTTAATCTTAGCAACAACAAGCTTCAAGAGCTTCCCTCTGCCGTAGGAGAGTGAGCTCTCTTTACCTTGCTTCCTATCTCACCTTCTCACGGTATTTCGGTAATACCGGTTTGTAACCGTTTACCGATAATTCGGTAATCGGTAAACCGATTACAAATCGGTATCGGTAATCGATTCCAATTTAGCCACTGTCGGTATACCGAAACCGGTACCACCCCTAGTACAAACTAAATTTATACTTTTATGTTATAAATTTTTTATGCAACAGTAACTCTAATCCAAATTTAACTTTATATTAAAATTAAATTTGGAGTATCAAAATGTAAAATGTACAAAGTGACTAAATTTATACTTTGATGTTATGGTGGATTGGTTCAAAATAATTGGTGGATTGGATTCATGAATTCAAGTGAAATCTAAACAATGGACCAATATGTAAATGAAATCTAAACATTGGACCAATATGTAAAATTTAAAAATTGTAGGTACAGAAATCTCTTAAAATTTAGATACCAAAACATAATTATTCATTGATTTTACATTAAAATTAAATTTGGAGTATCAAAATGTAAAATGTACAAAATGACTAAAGTAGCAATTTTTTATGCAACAGTAACTCTACTCCAAATTTATATATAGTAATATGATACGAAGTCTATCTCTTACCCATTTTTACAGTCAAATTATTCTTGACTTACTCACATTATACTTTGATGGAGCTAAGCGATGCCATATGGGAGAGAGAGAGAGAGAGAGGTGAATGATTACTTATTTATTAGCCTTTTTTTTTTGTGTGGTGAAATGACAACGATTATGATTCTTTCTTTCATGGCAGAAAAATAAACAGTAGAAGCAGGCAGGCTGGGCTCATTCATAATAATAATAATAATAATAATAATAATAATAATAATAATAATACCCATATTTACATCCTTGGGCACATTTGTTGGTTTATGTCTCCATCCATCCAAACAAACACATTTATTTATTAGCTACATAATCATTATTTTTTATTAACTTACAGTTCTTTAATTTCATCTGTAAATTTTCTACAGCAATTCCTCTATCGACTAACTGACCAACCACTATCTTCCAAACAAATGGGGGTAGTTAATTGATAGCTTCTGTACTCTTTTATATAACCAATCGAGGACTGAAAAATGTTTTCTTATACATAGAAGAGAAGACTATGGAGATTTTATTAATTTATATTACACCGTCCAGTCTTAATTAATCTGCAATAAATTTAAACGGTCTGTCTATCGAATCAAACCAAGTCTCCTGTCTGTTCCATTCTGCGAGGCATCAAAATGCGCCACTTTGTTTGCGACACATGTTGCCATTGTACAAAAGCATTTACCAAGCTCCATCGATCTTATGTAGTCCCCTTTTCTCCAAAGCATATACAACGCAATGCAAGCTTCCTCTGCCCCCTGGCGAGCCTGCAGATGGATGATGTTTACAGTCTTCAATGAAATTAAGGCTCCAAAATCTCCTCCTCCGCCATTAATAAACTTGGGCAAGCATTCCTGTCCTTCCTACCAAACCACAGCAAGCAAACCACTACACTACTCCATTCCGCCATTCCTCTCTAGCTACTTCTTCTGTCGACAAAAGGTTTACTTAAGGGTAAAAGCTCTATTAATTAACAATCTAAAGAACCATACTTTTTGTTTGTCTGCAACCAAGACAGCTACTAGCTAATTAGTTCCACATAACCGGCGATGAACCCGGCCGGTAACCCACTATTATTCCTCGGATCGTGAGACAAAACTGTTAAAACAGGGGAGGGGATCCTCTGTTTTCAGTGATGCCGGACACGGAGGAATCAGCTTCGGCGACTAGATAAATCGATTGCCCACTATTCAACATCGGCTCTGTTAGTGTTGTGGTATATGATCCACGATTGAACCTCTCCCAACAACTCGAGTTATTGGGATCAACTGGTTCTTGACATGGTATCAGAGCATTCTATGACCAAGAGGTCTTGTGTTCGATTCCTGGTGACCCCCATTTGTTAAGCACATGGTATTCTTGTCTTCAAACCTAACTAACTGGTTCTTGACAGGCTCAAAGAATTAGAATTGGCCGGGGAAGGAATTTTCTTCAAATCTCCCTCACTCCGAAAGGCAATAAGGGAATAGCTAGCTGATACTCCGGAAATTTATGGCCTGGGTAAGGAAGCCAAGGCAGGGGAGCTCCGGCAGCTAGGGCTGGCAAATCGGTTGCCGGTTAGCGGTTAGCCGCCGGTTATAACCGAAAACCGATAGTAACCGACTAACCGAAAACCGGCAAAAACCAACCTCGGTCGGTGTTCGGATGCGTATCAGAGGACTCCCGCTAGCCGAATAACCGGACATAATTAACCGTGGCTAACCGGCTAACCGACCCTCACCGAAAATTCCCTTCTCCCCATCCCAAAACCACAAAAAATCCTTCACCCCCAAATCGAATAACCTAATTCGACGACCCTTCCCTCCCCCATCTCCCCGATCGTGCGCCGCGCCTCCATGCCAACTCCACCCAGTTCGCCTGCGAACCTCCGCCGCCTTTGCATTTGTCGTCGTCGACTAGCAGAGTAGACGAGCCTCCGCCTTCGACCAGCCACCGCCTTCGTCGACGTCGCCCCGCCGCCCCGCCGCCTCCACCAGAGAAGAAGAAGAGGTTTGGTCTGCGTAAAAGAGAGAGGAAAGAAGAGGAAGAAGATAAGGAAAGTTTTAATTTTTTTCTCTGTTTCTGCGTACAAGAGAGAGGAGAGGAGAGGAGAGAGGAGAGAAGGAGGAGTTTGTTTAAACGTAAAAGAGGGAGGAGAGAAGAGGAAGAAGATAAGGAAAGTGCGGTTGGGGTTTTTTCTCTTTATTTATTTCAATTTTTTTTTTTAATCTTATCTAATAAGAGGTCGGTTATCGGTCGGTTAAGCTGTTGAACCGAACTGGTCAGCACTATTTCGGTTGCCCCGGTTAAACCGCGCCTGAACCGAAAATCGCCAGGTCGGTTTGCAGCTAACGGGGGCTATGGGGTCGGTCGGTGGACGGTAGCTTCTGGTCAGGTCTCGGTTTATGGTTAAACCGAAACCGACCGGTTGACAGCCCTACCGGCAGCTGTCTGGGAGGAAGAAGAAAATCCCTTAACCGGCGACCAACACCACGACCAGCCTCCGCCAACTGCAGCAGGAGGAAGAGGAGTCCGCCAGAGGCTAAACGGCGCAAGAACGGGCCACGGAGCAGCGGAAACTAGTGCGAAAAATGGGAAATACGGGTGCCCGAAACGGCGAAACGCAATGCGTTTCGGGTCCTCAAAACCAAAATCGAAACGCGATAAATTGACGATATACGATATGTGGCGATATTTTGATGATATATTGACTTTGTACGATATATTGACCCGGTGCCGACCTGGGCCATCTCTGCCGGAAACAGAGGGCGGGAAACGAGCAAAGGGTAGTGTCGATTAGAGAAAAGTTAGAGAGAGAAAGGTAACTGATTTTCGGCAATCCGTCTCCCTACGAACGCAACTCAATCAAACATTCAGTAGCTAGCCTCTGTTTTCTCTTCCGACGACGGCGACAGAGTGGGAATTTAATTCCGGCACAACGAGTACAGAAATGTTACCCACTAACAAGGTTGTCAACCCGCGGGTCGACCCGCGGGTTGACCCACTTTGACCCTGACCCGGTGAGAAAAACGGGTCGCACACACCCGCCGGGTCGACCGCCACAAGGTATCGGGTTGGAGGTCAAATTGTGTCCTTTTTTTCTTTGTTTTGCGAAATGCGCCTATTTTCCTATTTTTCTTTTCGCCTAACTCAATCTTTGGAATCCTAAGTTGAACATTTGAATATTAATGTTATATAAGTGTGTGTGAATTTTCACTATATGTTGAATCTAAGTACGAAATGTTATTTTGGTGTAATATTATATGTTATAACTCATATGTTAGATGAGATTTGATATAATTTATCAGGATAAGTACAATATAATGACGCTTTCCATATTTCCAGGCTAAAACGGGTGGCCCATTAACTGACCCACTAGCTCAACCCGGTCCGGGTCAACCCGCGGGTTGACAACCTTGCCCACTAAGCATTATTATCAGATTGCGAATAGTATGCTTTTGGCCGACGAGATATAGCTCTTACTTAATTAGCTTGGCATCACAGGAAGATGTTCATTGTTCAGAGATTGAAGCTCTGTCGAGCCTGCTTGTGGGAACACACACACACTCTGTTACAGCTTTATGTCGGTCTGCAGACAAGACTATCTTTGAATCGAGAGCCCTTTTCTATAGCTTCTATGCATGTCAAGAAACTACAGCAACAACCCAGCAGCAGCTACCTGTTGATATGTCAAAGGCTGAAGCAACTAATTGATTAGGCTCAGGGGAAACAAACCAGTCAACAAAATAACCGGTTGAACCCAAGGAGGGAAACCGAACCATAATTTTTCTTTCTCAACAAGACTGTTTACAATCAAAGCTCAGGGGAACAAACAACCAACCAAAACAACAATATTCTCCAAGCCCTTAGTAAAAAAGCGAACTCCAACCTAAAAATTTCAGCTAAGGAATCAAATTCAAACAAACAAACAAACAAAAAAACACATCATCACCATTATGATGTTTTCTTTTTCCCTTTCTACATGGATTCTCTCAAGAGAAACAGTTCTTCCTTCTCACACTTCCAAAACCCCACATTGGGTAGACCCGACTTACTACTACACAAACCATATACAATTCGTTTTTTGTAGGGCACAGAGATGGGAACTAGTGACCTTTTCTTCCTCTTTGGCCTACCTCTTTAAGGAACGTAACCGATTTCCTTGAAGTACTCATGTTCTATGGCAGTCCTGGCTGTAATTCTCTTGACAGGATCCAAGCACAGCAGTTTCTGTATCCACAACAACGAAAAAACCAATATGATAATCATAAATAACTCAAATTACACATGTTACTGCCAATCCCTGGGGTTTCAGAGCACGAGAGAGCGAGATGGAACTTTAACTTACACGTAAAAGGTCAAGACCAGCTGAATCGAGAGTCGGAACCACATTAGCCAAGTCCTGAAAAGAAAATCATTTGTTTTGCCAACTTTAGGAAACATTTTGGAGTTTGTAAACTTGGATAGGCATCACTAAGAAGGAAGCATGGAAACCTTTGAAGGCCACTTGGGGAAGGTAGACTTGAAGTCGGGCAAAGATGTTACTCCCGGCCAGGTGTCTTCATGTGGTGTGCCCATGATTCTGCAGATAAGGGGAAATATGAATGTAAGCATTCAGTGTCTTTGAGCGGACAAATGGTGGGGCATCAGGTCGGATGGATACAGAAGAATTGTTGATGGAGAAAATGTACATTAAGCAGTATCTACCACAATGTAATCACATATAGCCAACCAATTTAAAACTACGGTCATGCTGAAGGTGTGCATCATTGGTTTCAAATGTCAATGCAAAAATTGGTTAAAGGGAGCATCACTGATGGATACAACTAAATGAGGCAGCGAAAAACAAACCAGCAGAACCTATTAATGCTATGTATCGATGATTCTTAAACAAATAGAAACAAGAGAAATGCACACGATGGGTGCTAAGAGAACAAACTGGTTATTTGGGAAGGCACTTCACCTGAAAATCTTAAATAGCTCATCAATCTCAGAGTCCCCAGGGAACAACGGGCGCTGGTTCACCATTTCAGCAAATATACATCCAACAGACCAAACATCGACTGGTGTAGAGTAGTGTCGAGATCCAAGAAGGATCTCAGGGGCTCTGTACCAAAGAGTCACCACCTATTTTCAGAAAGGTAGAATCAATCAGACAACAAGAAGATAAACTGCCAATCAAAGCAGGAAAAGAAAACTTTTAGCCAGACATCACTGCTAGCAATAGGGCACTCCTATTTCCTATTACTAGGTATTGTTGCTTACGAGCTTTCTTATTAAAATGGACACCCTAGGAAATCCAACACACATTCATAATCAGCATATATTGCCTTGTCCTTTCAAGACACCAGCACCGAGCCATTAAGTGAAGCTTGATACCTTACATAACCAGGAAAGGAGAATGTGGATATCGTACCACAAGGTACAGGAGATACTATAATGAAAAATTGCAACTGCTCAGGGTTCCAGACATAGCTACTGGAAAGCAAACCTAGTTCATCAGTACCTCATGGGTAAATGTCCTGACAGGTATACCAAAAGCTCTGGCCAGGCCAAAATCTGCAAGTTTCAGAGCATTGGTACGACGATCAATAAGAAAATTCTGTGGCTTCAAGTCTCGATGAAGAACCCTGTGAGAATGGCAATAAGCAATGCCACGGAGGATTTGATACAGGAATGTCTGCAAATAGAGAATGATACAAGTTTAACAATATGTAGCAGGATGAGAGGACATTCACAATCCATGCCGTTATTCCCAGGTATCACAAGATTGGAAAAGTGGGGAGGAAAAATGAAATCAAATAAGTGTCTAATAGCTTTAACCCCCACCCCACTAACACAAAAACTTCAGCAACTTTCAGGCTATAGTTGGCACAAAAAATGTCAATTGTTGGGGAGTAGAAGGAAGACAGAGTTCCAATTAGTTGCATGCTATACCATTTGCAAGTGCATAGTTGGAAAATAGAGGAGAACAGTAGCAAACCCTGACTCTAAGAATTGCTCACTGACTTTAACTATGTTCAGGTCCTTAGCGAATTCAGGAGAAGAGTCCATGTGCTTCTTCAAATCTAGGTCCAGGTACTCAAATACCAAATACAAGCGCTTCTCACTGTGCACTACATCCTGCAACCTGTAGGTCAAACAAACCACAAATCAGCAGGAGAAAGGACAAAAACACAGTTCGCAATTGAGAAGGAAAGGAAGTTTAACAAAAAAAAAAACAAGGTAGGATGAGTATGCTTCAGTTACAACATCCAGTTTTACCCAGAGACACAATGCTGTGCATATGAACATGCAATTTGAATACAGACACGTGCATTGCAAGGCTCCATGGTATGCAAAACTTAATTCCACATAATCTCCAAAAACGGCAACTCAAAACATGGACCCTTGCCCCAATCAGTTCATTCAAAATAACCCGCTCCGCATACAAAACTCGCTTGAACTAAGCACACGCACCTAACAATGTTACCGTGCTGCATTTCTTTCAGAAGAAAAATCTCTCTGATGGCAGTGCTGGGGACTCCCTCGTCTTCCTGCTCGAGGCGGATCTTCTTCAAAGCTATAGTCTCATTGGTGATTCGATCACGAGCCTTGTATACCACTCCATAAGTCCCCTCCCCAATCTTCTCCACTTTCTCGTACTGGCCACATTACAAACACCAAATTACAATTAACGACGAAGTACTACCTGCTCCATTCAATCCAGTTCAGCAATCTCCCACTGCAACCAAAGCGCAACAAAGAGAAACTACAAGCAATCAGATCTCGATCAAACCCGTAATCTGAAGCAAAGCAGAGAAACGCCCAAATCAATCATAAAAAAAAAAGTGCAAGATTAACAGCGAGGCAAATGCTGGAACGCCAACACCGTCTGTACATCAATGGGACCCGAACATCCACAGAACAATCGAGGAAACGGAGGATAGACAGTGAATCTCGATCATCGGAACGATAGCAGAGCAGTTACAGGCCGATTTTCCCCGAAAAAAACATACATAAACCGCAGCAAAACGAGAAAAATACAATTGGAGTTTGACGGATGCCGCAGTTACCGGGTGAGAGACTCGCCGGGCGGCCGGGGCTTGTTTACCCCGGCGGACGAGTGCAGGGAGATAAGAAGAATCGGAGTCCGATCTCCGATGGTTGAGGACGCGGTGGCGGCAGATGCAGGCAGACAAATTCCCAGTGAAGTAAAAAAGAGAAAGATTGATGCTTGACTCAAGGAAAACGCAAAAATACATTTGTATAGTCAAAATTTTCGCGTTTGTCTTAATAATAGCCAAATTTGACGAAATATCACTTATAGCCAGCTTTTAAAGTTGTCGTAGGACAAATATAGCAATTTCCGTTTGATACTTTAACGGTGTTATTAACACCGTCAACTTATTCGACGGTTTGCTGGCTAGGCGCCAACTCATCAGACACGTCAGCGCCAAATAAACAAATTGTGACCATCAGATTTAATATTTACACATCATATTTAATATTTTAATTATTCCAATTATTAAAAAAAATATTTTTTAACCCTCATATACCTCATCTGACCTATCTTTCCCAACTCTGTCGTCTTCCCAAGCTCCGGCAACCGTTCAACCCACCCACCGACAGAGTCCTCTGCGGATCCTCGTCTCGTCCTCGTCCTCTCCGTTCGTGCAGTCCAACCTCCCGTCTCGTCCTCTCCATTCCGACAACAGTTCAACCCACCCACCAACCTACAGTCCGCCGCGAAAATCCAAGCAATCATCAAGAGAAAATGAGGTGCAGGACGAAGGGGCTGAGATGAGAGATAAAGATCTGAAACCCAGCGTCGATTTCCAAACCCAGTGTCGATCCATCTTCCGCCAATGATTGGGGCGATCTCTGGGATAGGCGATTTCCAATAAATCGAGGGAAAATCAAAGTGATTCTCGCGGCGATGACTTCTTCCCACTATCAGCCCCTTTCGAACGATTGTAGAAGACAGAGCAGCAACAGAGTGGTGTGGAGGGAGACGACGGCGCTTGTGCAGGGAGCTAGTGTTAGGGTTCGTTGATTGTGAGGCGATTATGCAGGTTTCGTCGATCGAGAGGGATAGCTCCTAAAAATCCCATTTTAGGGTTGTCGATTGTGTGGGGATTGTGCCCCAAGGTTGACTCAACTTCATCGTCCTCTCTCTCTCTCTCTCTCTCTCTCTCTCTCTCTCTCTCAGCTAATCGTGACAATGAAGGAGAGATGTTGTGCCAGTGACGACGATGGAGGAGTCTTCAGATTTGAGTGGCAGAATGAGAAGCGTGGCGGCCGGAAAGACAGGCGAGGGAAGCGATTTCGTGATTTACAGGAGGGATTTGGGGAGAATGTTACAGGCGAGGAAGCGATTTAGGGGTCGTTTGCTTGTTGGATTTGAAAAATGAGGGTTTTGGCTCAAAAAAACCTTTGGATTTATGAGGGATTTGTACCATCATAGATTTGAAGAGTCTATTGTTTGCATGATAGATTTGATGATATAATTATGATAGATTTGCTATAAATATAACTATTTTACAAATCTCACCCCAATATGTGGGATTTACAAGTCCGTGGGGTCCACAGATTTGGATCCAAAAAAGAGAATAAATCCGTGGACCCCATGGATTTAACACCTGACAACAAACAATGGACTTGGCTAAAATCCATCATGCTTGGGATTTGAGTCCCAAATCCATGACCCAAATCCATGACCCAAATCCATCAAGCAAACGACCCCTTAGTGATTTGAGTGATCGTCTCTGTTTCTCTCTACCATGGATTTGGGTTTGGGGAGAATGTTACGGCAGTGGGGAGGAGGGATTTGTGTATCCTTTTTTTTTTGTTTTTTTTTCATGTAATTATAATAAGAAGTGGAAGGATGGATATTAAAAACTCCATTTGAAATGTTTATTCCTTCATTTTAGTGTTTTTCTGCTATATTTTCTTAATTTTTTCCTTTTTGTTCATTCCCTAAATCCACGTGGATTTTTATGGACTAAATTGGCTGGAAGTGCTCGCCACATCAGCATCTCCGTTTGTCCAGTCATACTTAACACTAACACTGATGACTAAGTATTTGCACATGTTTTCCCCTTTGTTTCTTGATTGTTTGAGCTTGAATTATCGCATCTTTGGCCTATTTTACGCTAGGTTGTGTTCATTTCTCACATTTCAGGTCCTAGCACATAAACTGAAGCATAGGCGCAAGTTTCAAGTCAATCAGAGATCAATTGACGATTCGGGAGAAGAAACTCGGGCATGACCTGAAGAAGAATGGATTTCTACCTCACTTTATGTGTAAAAAATCATGCAATCTTGTCATTAAAAGAAAGAGGACGAGACTACGAGCGTCTGGGATCAAACGGCGACTGATTCGGAGTCCGGACGAGGGAGAAACGAAGCATTGAATATAGGGGAACAGGCTCGGTAAATCCCACACGGGCATCCTGGAACCCCACATGGCAGTGTGGGTCGTGGCCGCGTAAGAAGTCTGAGCCACTTATCAAAACGTCGCGGTTTGAAAAAAGTCACACGGGCATCTGAGGAAGTCACACGACCGTGTGGCCTGGCCGTGTGATCGGGAATTTCTGGTTAAAACCCGATTTTCAGCCAAAGGAAAGAGGAGAGCTGGATTTTTGGTTCCTAAACACCCAAGGGGCGAACCCTAGAGAGAGAGAGCGACTTGGGAACATTCTTGGAGCTATTTTGGAAGATTTCTTTGCCATTGGAGCTCGGGAATCAAGCTTAGAGATGGAGATTGAAGATCGAGATCAGATTTCTGCAGTCTCTCTCTTCTCTATGGAGTAACTTCCCTTCACTTAGGTTTTGAGGAACCCTAGTTCCATGTGTTAGGATCTTTCTTTTATGAAGTTTTGGTTGCTATATTGTTTGATTATAATCGATTGAGGCATGATTTATTGAGTCAATTGAATCTTGATCAAATTCTCTTGATTTCTGCTTTAACCTATTATGATAGATAGAATCTGATTAGGTTAAGAGAACTTCCTTGATTGATAGTGGTGAATTGGTTGTGCGAGATTTAATCAATTCACTGCTTTGTACCGGAATTCATTCCAGTAGTGGAGATTTGTGTGAATCGCCTTAGCAGCCTATCCCGGTGAAGGCTAGTCGACTGCCGGGTATTCTGTCAGAGAGGGCTTGGTCAGCTTAAGAGATTCCAAGCTAATTTAGGATCTTCCGCAGTTTAATCAACAGTAGATCAACAAAAGGTAATTGCAACTTGGACCTAATTAAGGAGCTAGGGGAAATCATACCTAAGTGAGTTCCCAACTTGTAATTAGTAGAGTAGTGAGTAGAGTAGTTTATAAATCAATCCTTAATCTAGTTTGCTAGATAATGAACTGAAGCTGAGTAATAGTAACTCTAGAGACCCGTGGATTCGGTATTTATTACTTGTGCCACTATACTGCAGTCCCTTCCATTGGTTACATTTGGCCATTGTTAGGTGTTGTGTTTTAGCGTGTCAAGTTTTTGGCGCCGTTGCCGGGGAACTTTCTAGATTATTAGGAAAGGCAGAAGTTTGTTACTTTAGTGTTTTTCTTTTCTTTTCCACCCTTGCTTTTCACTTGGGTGTTTTTGTTTTTGTGGGTGCAGAGCTGAATCATGGATCCTCATGGCTTCTCCAACCATTGGGGGTATCCACCACCATCCGAGTGGTATTACCCCGAGACCCCCTGGAGCAATCAAGGAGGAGAAGACTATGGATTCGGGTTTCGGTACCAACCCCCTTACTACGGAGAACAATCAGACCCCTGGGCATATCAAGAACAACCTCATTACCAAGAAGACTTTCTCCCACAATCAGAAGGGTCACCGGAGCTTGAGTTACCCATGTTGGCCTTCACGGGCCATTCTGCAGAGCCATGCTACACTCAAAAACCAGATCCAAACTATGAATTGAGGCTTCTCATGGAGCAGTTTGCTCGAGACAGTGAGAGATCATGGTCCAGGATGGATCTTTGTACCCAGGCCTATCGTGAAACAGAGGAGATCCTCCTGATCCTTAAGAAGAGCGTCGATGATCTTGAGCGATCTTTGTGCACAACCTACTCCAGATCACCCTTCTGCTACCATACTAGAAGAGGAGGAGGAAGAAGAAGGCTACAAGGACATTGTGGAGCACACTGAAGTTGTCACGGAGAGCTCCTGTGATGATCATGATCAGGAATGTCCTGTCGTAGCCGACCACACCTTCCCACATCCCAAACTGAGCTTTGAAGAGGCGTGCATGAGTGAGGAGATGCAAGAAGATCTCATGAAAGAAATTGCTTGGCAACTTGCGCTCCAATCCGAGCTAGAAGAAGAATTACGAGAAAGGATGAGGAAGGAAGTTGTGGAGGATGAGGAAGAAAGCAAAGAAGAGGTAGTTCTTGATCATTTCCCAGGGGTGACACCACATGAACAAGGAAGGGAGCTTGAAGAAGCAATTGGTGTCCAGGCCGAGGACGAAGTTGAGGTGGAAGAGGCCTGCACCGGCCATGAGTTGCAAGTAATATCCCCACCAAACTTCGAGGAACTGCTTAGCAAGGACCCATTTGCAGTGTCTCTTTGCCAGACCAAGGCCACATCGACATCGGTTCCTCTTGGTGGACGCAATGGTGGTCAATCGATGCTGTCACATCTAGTTTGGGGCAATGAGACGAGAGAAGAGAAGAACAGGTCTCGAGGGTGGAGACGTTATCTGCATCAAGTACACGAGCTTCCATCACCTGTCATATCACATGCTCGTGACTTGAGACTCCACCTTATTGACGAGAACTTCAACTTCAAGGAGATTTTGGGGTGGACCGAAACTTAGGAGCCATCGTCCGGCTCACGACGTGAAAGAAGCGCTTGTTGGGAGGCAACACAACCAGTTGCATTTCTTTCTCTATTTCTCCTCGGTTGAGTCATTTTTGTTCTTTGATTTTAGAGTCAATAACTCAACCTTTGTGAGATTTTGTGTGGTGTTTGTGTTCCGACTACTCTCTCCTCCTGGAATGCACCGCCTGCCACGTCCACCATCATTCACCCTTGATATGGTAACTTCGTTCCACCCTCCTTATCTTTCCTCCATTGAGGACAATGTCGTGCTTAAGTGTGGGGGGATGTTCGATTATGCATGCGGGTGAATGTTTGGTTGTTTGTGTGCTTGGAGCCTAGTCCACTGTCCAAATTTTTAAATTTGAGGGCTCCAAGTACGTGTTTCCTTGCAAATTGCCTGCTCAGTAT